CAAAATATGGAATTGGATTTCAATTCAATTTTCTGCCAACCAAACATGTTTCAGATTCCAATTCCTACAGATTTCAATTCCTTCACAGATTTCAATTCTCTCATAAACATTGCAGCGAACCAAATGCCACCAAAGGGTAAACTAAATCCAAATTTTTAGGACATTTGTATTTTGATCATCCAACCTTTAAAACTTATAGTATAGTCATTAAACTTTTAATTCATTTTCAATAAAGTTTAGACATTACCTACCATTAGTTTCATCTAACATGGCACGTTAATGTTATTTTTCTGCTTAATAAAATAATCCTTTTAACTAATTTCAGCACCCTCAAAACTTTTCCTCGCCTAAAATTAATTGAAAACCCTTGATATCAAATTCTTCTTTCTCTTATTCCTTTTGTTTGATCAACAATCAAATTTAACAATGAAGATACCAACTGTAATTTCAACATATTTTTGTGGAATTTCTGCTTTCTTTACATAAAACTTGGACGAATAATAATGATGGAACGAAGTTCTCAGGGTATGTTAACCAAAGGAATATATTTAGAAGAAATTGTAATTTTTTTGAAATTGATCCCATTGAATCTACATTCGTATACTATTATCATTTATTTGCTAAGGAAGATGAGAGCAATGGAGAAGGGAAGAAGGTTTTAGCGAGTGATTTGAATGATTTGTTTGGAGATTTTGTTGTACTTGATTATGTTGGGTTAAGATAAAGATAATTTAGGATTGGAGATTTTATTTTTTTCACTTACGTTTATTGCTTGGTAAACTGAATTTGAATATGAATTTGAAATTTTAGGTTCAACATGTAATTGAAGTGTTTATGAACATGAATTATCAAACAAAGTGAATAAGAGAAAGGAAAATTTCTTTTTTAGGATTTTTAGTCAATTTTGAATGAGGAAATTTTTTTAGGATGCTGAAATGGATTAAAAAGATTATTTTATTACGCTAAAAAATAAAACTAATGTGTCACGTCAGATGAAATTAACGGAAGGTAACATCAGAGATCTTATTGAAAATGAAATAAAAGCTTGGTGACTATATTGCAAAATCTTTAAGTTAATTGACAAAAATGCAAGTTCCCTACAGATTTGGTGACCATTTATGTAGTTTATCCTTATTAAAATGATATGAATTAATCAGGGTGGAACCAAAAATGGACAAGCGGAAGATTGAGATTGTCACAGGTGTCATTCAAGTATAATGCGGCTTTTAAATGCTTCAAATATTCTATTTGGATTCCAAGAAAACCGAAGCTCGTAAAATTCATGTAATATTTTTTTGATTTTCTTGGAGAATCCAGAGATGCCCCAAATTGTTTTTGTCTTTGTTTTTTTTTTTTTTGAATTTCCTTGGTCAATTTTGGGGCAGATCTATATAATTTGGCCCAACATTCGACAGTTAGGAAAGGGTATTCTGGGAAGATTAGAAATTGGGATAGGGGTGTCAATATGAAGAAATTAGTTTTTTGAGGACTTGGTTGGGAATTCTTTTGGCCGTCAGTTCCGTCTTCAACCGCCGTAATCAGATGAGTTTGTCGGATAAGTGTTTCGGGGAAGGATTATTGTTAGGGGTCATTTATATTTGAGTGAGGTTTTCTTTCTTTTTCCATTGTTGTTTCAAAAATAATGATTAGATCACTAACGATATCTATTTATAATAAATTGTTCTCTTATCGTTAATGGTGGTTAGTGAAAGTGATAGAATGATGATATGACTCATTAACCAACTTACCTGGCATGCAAGATCGATATCTTCAAAAGAATCTTCACTCTAGGCCATTTAACACGCTTGTTTGTAGATGATTTCAGGTTAAGGATCTGCGCCAGGAGAGGGGTGGTGGATGCACTCCATCACATGCTAGGAAGGTTAGCTACTCAGCATTGATATTGGCCAAGAAACTGTTGAACGACCAAAAAGTCATGGTTGTTAGGTGCGAAGAGATTTTGAATTCAAAGGTATGTGCAAGTTTGGATACATGAATTGGATTCCCAGCTTGTACAGCCTTCTGGGTGCACCATATTGTCGATGAAAGTTTTCATTATAACTGTTGTTGATCGACTCCCTCATGGACAACCAAGGTATACTGGGAATTGGACCTTCACCGGAGCAAGCTCAAGAGCCGGAAGGATTTTGCCGCCATGGATCATAATCTTAGGCACTTTATCGTCGCTTCTCTTTGATGACATTATAATGCTTTGCGGACCGTTTAGTGGCTTTCCGACGAGGCATGTGCAGTTATGAAAAATTACGGATGCTTCGCCGAATATGAAATCGATTGTTACAGAGATGGTGCATTTCCGATAGAATTTTCGTTCGTTGAAAGTGTAAGTGTGTCTTGGTAACCATCTATGGAGCATTTGAAGAACACTGAATCTTTCGAATGTACCCTCATTGCCATCGCATGCATTTTCATTGGTCTTGTTGTGTTCTCGAACGCAATATTTTTGGCAACGAAGTTGTTTCCATCAATACCTACAGTTATTATCATCTCTCTCTATATATAATTACCGATTGGGTTAATAATATGCATATTATCGAATCTAGCAGTGAAGTAGGTAGTGGGATTTCCCTCTGGACCAGTGCCGATATTTCCGTTGATTCGGGTTTTCTCTTTATCATCTACCACTGGCAGCAGCTGGCGATCTACTGCTTATAGGAGATGCTGCTTCCACCAACAGCTCCGACGCCTTGCTTTTGCAGCAGTCGGTGGAGGACCAAACCTTTTTCTTGATTAATGTCAAACGAGGGTTAATTAGCTTGGGAGTCAAACAATTAATCTTGTGTGAAAAAAAGGGTGTTAGGTCAGTTGGTTAACATGCGACGATAGCATTCTGTCACCTTCAATAATAGTTATTAACGGTAAATGATTGACTTGTTATAAATAAAAAATATTAGTGACTAAATTATTAATTTTAAAACATCATTGGAGAGAAAAGAAACTTATTGAAACATAAGTGACCATTTATATAGTTTACCCTTATTGTTATTACAACTTCGAAAGTTTAAAATATTGATGATTTGAAATATGTATAATATTATTGACATGTGCATTTTGGTTAGAAATGACAACCTTTGGAGAAGAATATTATACGTAATTATTATGTGACCAACTTCTTTGAAAATATGTTCATATGAGTTATGACCAACACTCCTGTTTTTTTTTTTTTTTTTTTTTTTGTGGTAGACTAAAAGGCTTCCATTTTCTATTTGACCGGAAAACCTTAATAATAATTATTCTTTTACTTAAATCAAAGTTGATTTCTGTTCTTTTAGTTGATGTTGTTAATAATATATTTTTAGTAGTAATTAATTTGAATTTGAAAAAAAAATTGCAAACACATTTAGTCAACTTTCAAAGATAATGAAAGATTAGTAATTTCGACGAAACTTTGGAAAATTATATTGACCACTCTAAAATTTAATTTCTTATATTTGTTCATCATTTTTTGTATTCTAATACGTGTCAAAAAAAAATCCAAAGTTGACAGTAGAAAACCAAAATACTCTCTGCAAGGAGATCATTATTAATATGTTACTTTGGTCCTCAGTCATCATTCATAGATAAAACTTGATTTTTAAAAAAATATTATTTTTTTACTTAGTTTGATAGTAAAAAAATTGATTTAACTTAAAAAAAATTAAATCAAGTTATACAATAAAATTCAATAACTAGAAATTTCTTTGTAATTAATGAATTGATTTTTAAGTTCAAGTTAAGTCCTCAGTATATATCATATGAAAAAGATATGATATATATGTATGTATATATATCATATATAATTATAGAAAATTATTTAAATTAAAATCAAATAGTACCATTACATTACAAATATTTATAATTAAATAAAAATTCGAACAACTCAATTTAACTCGAATTTTATAAAATCAACTCAATTTTTTAAAAAATAAAGTTCAAATTATAAAATAAAATTCTTTAATTCAAATAACTTAAAATCTTTTAACTTGGCTCGACTCAATCGAATATTCACTCCTATCGATAATTGTTTCGTCACATTAATTAAGCCATTGAAGCCTAAATGGGCTCAAGTGGCTGATGGTGCGCAATACAAATTTATCCGCCATCAAAGTAAATGAATTAAAAGCATATTGTAGTTGGGCCTTGAACCAGTTGTATATGTCAAATGTTGATAAGCTAGCCTTATTGATTGAAAGCCTAATTTGCCGTCGTCGTCTTTTCTTCACATAGTCAGATATAAGTAAAATTCGACCTTATTTTAAGAAATCAAATTTTTTAACTCAAATTGACGTCAAAAAATCTGTCTGAACATAAAAAAAGTTTTAAGTTATAAAATAATACTCGAATAATTCATACAACTTAAATTTTAATAATTAATGGATTGATTTTCAAGTTTGAGTCGAATCTATTAACTGTGATGATATTTGTATATTGTATATGAATAAATATATATGTATATTTTATATAGTTATAGAAAATCGTTTAAATAGAAATCAATTAGTAACATGACATTCTAAATATTTACAATTAAATTTAAATAGAAACTTAAACAACTTGATTTTAAAAAAATTTAAATAAAATTTGAGTTATAAAACAATACTCTTTAGCTGAGCTAACTCAATTTTTTTAAACTCAATTTAACTTGATCAAATGTTGATCCCTATCCATTATGTGTATAGGATGAACTCATACATTGTTTGCTAGAAACTACTAGAAAACCAACACACGCTTATTTCTGGGCCTTGGGGTATGGGGTAGGTTGACTTCACATTTACAACCTGTGAAGCAACTAATCTTATAATTTATAGGTCCATGAACATCCCTTCAATTGAAATCATTGTGCTTGTTTATGCAATCCAGCTGTCCAGTTCGTAGATCATCCCACCAACCAACTTACAATATCCAATAAGCATTCCCTACGCTCCTATAAATAACCACAAGCTCAAATCTTTCAGACCGTAACAATTCAATATTACATCAATTCTCTAAAGTCTAAACCCCGAATCCTTTTAGTTCCACCATCAAACTATAGCCAATGGATGCAGTTTCCGCTCTTCCAAATGCTCTACAAATGCTTCTCGTTGCTGCTCTCGTGGTTCAAGCATTAATGGTTGCTTCTGCAGGCAACTTTAATCAGGATGTTGATATCACATGGGGAGATGGTCGTGGAAAAATTCTCAACGATGGCCAGCTGCTTACTCTCTCCCTCGATAAAGCCTCTGGTTCAGGCTTCCAATCCAAGAATGAATTTCTGTACGGGAAGTTCGATATGCAACTGAAACTTGTGCCTGGCAACTCTGCAGGGACCGTCACTGCCTACTACGTAAGTAACTTTACATACAATTGATTATCTTATACATTCAAAAGTTCTTCTTTTTTTGTGCGAATTCGTTGATTACAGACGATTTTATTCTTGTTTGCTGCAGTTAAAATCACAAGGATCGTCTTGGGACGAGATCGATTTTGAATTCTTGGGGAACCTAAGTGGTGATCCGTACATCGTTCACACTAATGTTTACACGAAAGGCAAAGGTGACAGGGAGCAACAATTCTACCTGTGGTTCGACCCGACTGCTGATTTTCACACTTACTCGATTCTATGGAATCCCGGACACGTTATGTAAGTATATAATATTTATCAACATGCAATCTTCTCGTTGCAACTCTTTTCAAACATTGCACAAATCTTTGTTTCAGTTTCTATGTAGATGGTAGACCGATTAGAGAGTTCAAGAACCTGGAACAAGCTGGTGTTCCCTACCCGAAAAACCAAGCCATGAAAATGTATTGTAGCCTATGGAATGCGGATGATTGGGCCACGAGAGGAGGCCAAGTGAAGACAGATTGGAGCCAGGCGCCTTTCACAGCTTCTTTCAGGAACTTCACTGCTAATGCTTGTGTCTGGTTTAATGGAGCCTCTTCCTGCCCTTCGGATTCGTTTTCCAACAGTGCCTGGTTTTCGCAGGAGCTGGATTCTTCCAGTCAGAAAGTGCTGAAATGGGTGCAAAAGAAGTACATGGTTTACAATTATTGCAAAGACGCTAAACGATTCCCTCAGGGCCTACCTGTTGAATGCACTGTCAGGAACAGGAAAACAGATTGAGACATAAGTACTTTCCAGAAGACTGTAATATAGTTCTTCAGAAAAACCAATGACAATGTCGATTCGAGTCGTTTATATAATCATTTAATACAAGTAAATTTTAAAATTAATTCAGGTTTCATTTTTGTTCCTTCAATGCCAATAAGCTATAGCAATTCTGAATCAATGCAAATTTAAATTTTTGATTCAGTCAGTTGAGAGTTTCTTCATATTTTATTTCAAGCTGTTGTGTCATATCAGCTTATCAAGTGGCCTTAAATTAACTTTAGGCCTAAAGTTAAACTTGGTAAGCTACGTGTTAAGTATTTGAGAATCCCTTTAATTGCTAGGAGTTTATGAAATAGAGACTGTGAGCCTATGTTTAAAAAGTAAGGAAAAGAATAAGTGGGTGGGCTGGGCTGCTTAGGTACTATCTTATATTGGCAGATTGCAATTGCTTAATGTTATTCGTTTTCACGTTCAAAATTATTGGGCAAGACTTTCTTTTTCTTTTCTTTTTTTTTCCCCTAGGGATGGATATGGATCCACTTAAATTCAATTTGAAAATTAAATTCTTGAAGATATATATATATATATATATAATTTATTTTTATTATGTAAAATAAGGACCTGATTGGAAAAAATAAAATAGCAAGGGGTATTATTAAAATTATCTCTAAATATATAAGTGGAAACTATAATATTATGTTGAGTAGAACAAATTTTTTTATACTAAACTCAACCAAACAGAACACCCCCTTAAAAAAAATCTCAACCCACTTTATCTGAACTGAAATTTTTGAAATAAAAGATAGTCAAAACCCATCGAAACAAAATGAAATGATCATCCTGCAGACACTCATTTTCGTCCATATTTTTTTATTTTATTTTATTTTACACATATATATCTATATATACATAAATTATATAGTTTGCAAACGGTTTTTGAAAATACATATATAATATATAGTTTTTAAAACACTTTTGAAAACTGTATAATATATAGTTTTAAAACATTTTAGAAAATATATATAATATATAGTTTTTAAAACCTTTTTGACTTACATAATATATAGTTTTTGAAAACGTTTTTAAAAACTTATATAATATATAGTTTTTGAAAACTTATATAATATCTAATTTTTGAAAATTATATAGTATTTAAAAAACATTTTTTGAAAATTAATATATTATATGTTTTTGAAAATATTTTTATATATAATATAGTATTATTATTATTATTATTATTATTATTATTTTATTTATTTGTTTTTTTCATTTTCTTTCTCGTTCCAGGTCTAATGCGTCGGTCCAATCCAAATGGCCCAACACAGGTCCAATAGGTTTGGGGCTTGACCTAGCCCGATATAATTTAGGGTTTGCAAAACCCTAGTCAGCATTGTATAGTCAAAGATATCAAGAGTCAGGTGCGAGTCGGCCGGCCGGGAAAACCGAGATTGCATTATCCCGAGATTCCTGGCCACGTGAACGTTGAGGGGAACAACCCTGTTATCATCGAAAACGGTCTTCACTGGGGGTATAAATACCCCACCATCAACACTGCCAGGGGGAATGGCGGTGAGAACAAACAACACCAAGCAGTACCATAGACGAATAATAATCGACCATCACCAAATCACAACAATGAGACTACATCAACAATAAACTAAAGAACACCACCATCAATAGCGAACCACAAGTCAAAGATAAGAGAAAAACCCACAAACACAAACCAAGCAAAACCATTCGAAACCCAACAAAAACCCATATACAAATATAACACAAAAAGCAAAAACCAGTGCGCATCGGGAAAACGAAAGAGTTGCCATCGGAAAGGTAAAAAACCGAACCTTGTGGCCTAGATCTACGATTGGTGGGTGGTTTTTAAGGTATTTGGGTTTAGGATTTGGGTTCCCGGGAATGAGGGGAGTGTTTTGAGGGTTTCGGATACTTTTCGGTCGTCGTCGAGCGGTAGTGGCGGCTGTGGCCCAGTGGTCGGCCATCCCTCAGGTGGGGATATTGTAGAGAGAGAGAGCTATTGGTGAGAATGAAGAGAGTTAGGTCGTTTGGCCTTGGAATCATGTACTTATACCAGAACCAAAACTACGCCGTTTTGTTATGGGGCTTCTGTGCAGTTTTTGGGCATGGGTAAATGGCAATTTTAGTCCCCGTATGTTTGTAATCCCGTTATGCAACCACTTTTTGAAGTTCGATTTTCTTCGATTTCGACACTTACATTTCAGAATTCATATTTAAGTCCCTAGTTCATTTATTTTACCACATTTGCTTACATTTGACTTTGATTACATTATTCATAATTGTTTCGTTTTAGTCATTGTTTGTTATTAGGTTTAATTCATATCTGGTCCTTTTCATTTTGAATTATTCAATAAATTTAGTTTCTCTTTGGTTTATTTTATTTTATTTATTTTTTATTTATTTATTTTTCTCCTTTTGATTTATTCTCTTATTATTATTATTTTTTCCTTTTTCTTTTTATTTGTTGTTTTTATCTGTTGAGTTGTTATTATTTTTCTTATATTTTTACTTTGACTTATTTAAATATTTATTTTATTGTTTTTTTTTCTAACATTTTCGTTTTTTAGAAGAATTCCAACAAATAAAAGGTAAGTAATTTGAATCGGGCCTTTTAAATTTTAATTTCAAATTTTCGCAACTAAGACAACCGACAAATTAATTGGTATCGAAAGGGCGGTTAAAGGGTGCTAATCTTTCCTTGACCGTAACTGACTCCCGAACCCGATACACTTCTGGTAAAACGTAAATAAGGTAAGATGGTGTTCGATCAGTCCAAATCTTATTTTAAAATGATCGATGGCGACTCTAATCCATTTTCCTAAATCGTAGCCCAATTCCGGGTCCAACTGAAAGACGGTTCCGACACATCCATATTCCTAAGACGATGATTACAAACTTTAATCAATCTTATTTGAGTTTCCTTTTTTTTCATGGATTAAATTCAGAAGTTCAGGATCAGTTTTAGTTTAAAAATATAATAAAACTTTTTGTATCAAATTTAATTGAATTTAAATATAAATTTTTAAAATCAATAAATAAGTATTTAAGTTGATTCAATAGCTAAGTGTTACTCTTACATCTCTTAGTTCTTTAGTTTGAACCCTTGTGATCCTATCATTTTCATATATATATATATTTTAAAAAGTTTGCATCAACTACAAATTAACTTAAATATAAGTCATTGTTAACAATCTAATACCCAGAGATCCCATCTCAACTTGTTTTATTTTCATTTAATTTTCTTTTAATAGGACTGTGTGATGCATGTCACTACATTGTTTGAGAAATTAAATTTATTAAATTATTTTTAATTAAAATTAAAAAATTAAACATGTTACTATATAAATTTGCTTAACGTCACATTAGCAACTCCATTAACAATTAACGATTGGTTTGATTGAAGCTAAAATAGAGGATTAGTGACCTAGTTGACAAAAATTTCAGTTCAATGATCAAAATAGAATTAAGTCAATAGTTTAGTAATCTTGGGGTAGTTTAACCTAAATTAATTAGGCCAACTGGAGGTTGGTTTAATTGAAAAGAAATATAGGGATTGGTATTGAGAAGTAAACATTAAAACACAAACGAAAGGTAGGTAGAAAGACATTAAAGGCCATGATGAAATTAAATTCCCATTTAATAAGGTTAGGTATATTAATGAATTGGTCTAGTAAATGGCTTTTAATTAGCTTTCATGCAGCAACCATAATAAAGTTCATTATTTGACAAAGTTTAGGTGAATACAGTTTTCAAACATTTATATGACATAACCATATTTTATTTCATTTTCTTGGTATATCACTATCCCTTTTTTATCATCTGCCTGCGTTATATTATAGATGAATTTAATAAAAAGTTAATGTGAAACATCAAGTGGTCTCAGTGATTAAATGAAATATTATTCTCTTTAAAAATTATGAATTCGAATAACTTAATTTATAAGATATGTGTGTGTTGTCAATACATTATAAAAAATAGTATGAATGATATTTGATATCTAAAAATATATAGATATTATTAAGAAATAATGATCGGAAAAAGGAATTTAAAAAAATAAATAACATTAAAAATAATTGTGTAATGCTATGATATCTCAGTAAAAGATCATACTACAATAGAGTGTGAATTTGAAAATAGAAAATTATTTCAAATTCTTCAATTTTTTTATTAATCTAGGATAACTATAAGTGATAATATCTGTTCTAAAGACTTTTAACTATTTAACAGTGAACATTCAAATTCTTCATTCCAAATTTCTATTTCATCGATTAATAGAAATTATATTTGGAGTTTAAAAGTCTCTAAATATATACCTTCAAAGTAAAAGCAGTCAATTACTTTAGTTAAATTATTATTAATTTTGTGATTAATAATTATTTTGATGAATTTCAATGTATAAAAATTGTTACATAGTATTGGAAACTCTAAAGAATGCTCTCAAAGCTTGATCATAAATAACTACACCTTTTTTTTAGTATGTAATTCAGTAATGTGTAAGGTTTAGAAATTTCATCAAACTATTTTTTTTTTAAATTTGTGAATTCAAATTTTATTTTGATATTATTTGAAAGTTTGTGATTCAATCCATGAATAAATAAAATTAAGAAAAAAATAGGATTTAAAAGGGATGCAAAAGGTTCTCGAGTTGCATGTCCTTGTGGTAAGAATCTTTTCGTACATTCAACGTGTCCAATACTATATTTCTTAAGTTAGCTTTTGATCGGAAGTAAATTATCTCGAAGTAGATTTCTTATTACTTAAGTTTCCTTCGTAATAAAATAATTGTGTCGAAACGATTTTTTTTCTAAAAGGTGAAAAAATGTGAGATTTTGAAAACCACATCAATTTTTGAATTATCTCTTTCAATTGACTTTTAATTTTAAAACAAATGCGATTTAAAAACCTTTCGTTTCGAAAAAATTTGGATTTTCTTTACGATCGAAAAAATACGGTTCAAAGAGTCGCCACCAATATTTGATTAAGGTGTGATTGGACACCCAAAAATGTTTGTTATTTTAAATAAAAATTAATTTTAATTAAAACAACAAATTAAGGTATGCGTTATC